ACATGGCATAAGCAACAGATGCAGCAAATCTCTGAAGTGAAAAAGGCACTACGCGAGACAGGTTCGTCATCAGCTTTCCATTCCTGTGCAAGTAAAACTATTACCTAATTTCCTGCTCTGAATGGCTCGAATCTAATGTCACATTGAAGTCGTACTTGTATTTCTTCATCTCTTCTCCCTCGCCTAATTTCAGCATATTGTAGAACTGAACTTGTTTGCCTAAGGTGAAGCTATCGTACAAAACTCCTGAAAATGACTCTCGTACAAAACTCTTGAAAATAACACTACCCAGACGAGAAGCATGTCGACCCAAAAATCAAAAGGATACACGTTCGGAAAAACGAACCCAATAGAAATACTCCGCCGGTCGAGATGTAGATGAATGCTTCAGGTATTTGTTCAAGATAGAGACGATGAAGACCTAGGACGCCGCCAACCATGAGCAAAAGTCTGAAGATTTCAGATAATTTTAGCTCAATTTTGTATGTTGACTTCTAGAATTCGGAGGAATTCTGATACTCAGGTGAACACTTGCTTCACATTATGCGAAGAAAAACGTTCTTCCGAGAATTCTCTTGTGAATCTAAAAACGCTTGAGATACTTGAGAGAGAATTTTCTGGCAGTCAGTTGACCAGGGAAGGTCTACAGGTCGCCATGGCCATTCAAGATGAGATGCATATCGACGTGTGCGCCTGGGACGCTGAACTCAAATCTGCTTCCAAAATTTGCCGAACGATTCTCTATGAGGAGTTAGGGGGTGGTGATTCTAGCATAGTGCTCGCCGATCCTCCTTTGCGTAGCTCAAGTTCGAGTACAAACAGGCCAGTTGGTGGACGGTGGAGTGGATAGGTAGGTTGCTTCAAATTATGGGAAGGTCATGGGTTCGATTCCTCCGCATTTTTGCATTTTTTCGGAACATCTTCTGCGAGTATGGAAAATACTTTTATCCATTATTTTGTCACGCTTGCTCTTACTTGCAGCAGGAAAAGACTCAAGTGCCGGCAATTGTGCTTCTCTTTCAAGACTTTTAGGCAGTGTTTACCCTTTACTGCCCAAATCACCCGAAATCAGGCCAGTTTTTGACCGACTTTT